TGTATTCAAATTTCTGCTGAAAATAAGAATTCAATTTCGCAGCTGGTGGGATGGAAGGGTGGTAGGTGAAAAATTAGTTTTGGTAAATATCAGATGAAATATTCAACATAAAAAATTACATTTATTACTTTTTAGTATAAACGATTAACTAAGAGCAACTAAATAAATAAATTGTTATTATTGTAATTTAAAAAAAAAAATTATATAATTTAAAAAATATATTAAATCGCTTATTAACGAATTTCCTCTTATAAATAATTTTCATTTCCGCCTATTTTATTAAATATCAAAACGTGCAATTATTCGCTTAGAACTCGAACTTATGTCGGGATCCCGACATTTTGGGACTAGTAACAATTTATTTACTATTATTAGTAAATATAAAAAGTGCAATTTTTTACAGAAAACTTAAATTTTTTCAGGATCCCGGCGCTTTTCTTTTAAGAAAAAGCATACACTTTTATCTTTTTCTCAATTGAAACTAGTTTCGGAATCCTGAAATTTTGAATCGGTTCGGAACCAGAAAATTTACTCTTTAGTGCAAACGATTATGTAATAGCAAAATAAATGATTTATTATTGATTAAGTAAAGTTAGAAAATCCTAATATATATCAAACTACACATCATTAAATTTAATAAACAATTTTTATTTAAAATATTAATATTCGTGACATTAATTTAAAATAAATCAAATAACACTTAGTAACGAGTTTTTACTAACATAGTTTTCCTAATTATTTTATTAGATATTAAACCGTTCAATTTTTTAATTAAAACTTGAATATTTTTCAGGATCGCGACTTTTTGGGACTTACATACAAAACATGTAATTCAAATATATACTACAATATTAAGTTTTTCTCAATTTTTCTCAATTGAGTCTAGTGATATTAAAATCTAAAAACAAATGAAATTTCGAAACAATCTCTTTCTAATAATAGCGTATCTTTTTGTCTGTGATTGTAAATTATGGATGCAATACTTCCTACTTTTAATCATGTATACCACTTTACATTGCGAGAGTATAAAACGTTCGATTACACCCGAACTTAGACTTTCCTTACTTATTTAATTCTAACATTTACTTTCCAAAAATTTTGAAATCACGAAATATTTATTTTGCAATTCTAGAAAAATATGCACACATTTCGCAAAAATTTACTTAAATCTAGTAGTTAAAAAAGTTTTTGAAATTTTACAAAATCGGTTTTGTGAAACAAATAAAATCGTAAAATTTAATTGAGAGTTTGCATGTTTAGCTAAGCTTTTACAAAAAGAACCAAAAATATTTTAACAAATAGAAAATGAAAAAAAAATTTAATTAAATAAAATGTGATAAAAAATACAATTAAATTAAATAAATTAAAATAAAATAAAGTAAAACAAAATAAAATAAAATATAATAAATAATAAAATTAAATTTAATTAATTAAAATCTTATATAAGAAAGTAAAACAAAATTAAATTAATTTAAATTAAACTAAATCAAGTTAAATTAAATTCAATTCAAATAAAAAGAATGAAATAAAAACTTAATAAAAAATAAATTAAATTTAATAAAGTGAATCAAAAAACTTACACAAATTATATAATTTTAAATTATTAACACTTTTTTAGTTATACAAAAATTTCAATTTAAAATCCTACTATTTATTATATACATTATATACATATAGAAATATTTAACTATCTTTGTAAAGCAGTGTAAAGCTACATATATGTGTTTTCGCATCTCTAACTTTTTAACACTACTTTTCTTTACTTTGCCACTGGTCAAGAGCAATATTGTTCAAATTCCTTTTACGACGTCTCATTTTGCAATTAACACTAGAAACCACACATTTTATGCTTAATGCTTTCAAGCCAAAAATTTACAACATCAATTTACCGACAAATTACAAAAACACATAAAAGTTTGCCAAAAGAAATAAACAAAAGTGTTATTAACTCGTAAGCAGCTGCACAATTATCCAACAAAAGAATCCATTACAACTTGTTAAACCAATTGCAAGTCAGACATGAGTATAAGTATTTAGTAAGAAGAAGAGCAGAAAATAAGTAAATAAGAAGAAAAATAAATATAAAATGAAAGCATAAAATTATATAAAAAAAAAACAATCAAAAGAATCCACAACTCAGCCGTAGGTATGTATGTACCTCGGTCTGTAAGCGCGCTGAACAGCTGGCTGACTAACTGAAGTGTCTAATTGGCTAACGGCCGCGCTGACCAACTGGCTGACTGCAATGCATTGACTTTACTAGAAACTTTTAACGCTTGAATAATTGGCATCGCGTGCGCGCAACGTGAAGAGCAAGAGCAGAACATAAGAGAAGATGAGTTTGTGTGTTTGTGTGTAGGTAGCAAGAATTGATAAAAAAAACTCTGTTATTGTATGGACAGGTAGATTAGCGCTGCAGAATTAGGCTAGTGAAGCCGGAAGATGAGGTGTTATTTTGAAAAGAAGAAGTGCCACTGACATATGTATCGACAAGATAAAATGTAGCGCAAACAGATAACGGATTGCCAGACTAATAATAATAAGAAAGATGCATGTAGAAGCTACTAGTAGTATATGGATAAGTCAGTGAGTCAGCAGTATGCACCATAAAGAGATGTTAAAAAGTTTGTAATAATTCAGCTATTCATTAAAAGGATGGTAACTAATTTTTGAGTAACTAACCACATTTATAATTAAGTACTGTCTTCGGGCAGCTATTCAGCTCACAAAATTAGCACATTCGGCTAGATGCTGAATTCTTTATATATGAGAAAACAAATCTTATAAAAAAAGTAAAATATTTGTTAAGCCGAAATCGTATTGCTAAAAGTCAATATTAAAGTAGACAAAATGATTTGACTTTGTAGCTAGCTATAATTAAAATTTTTCTCATAATAGCTATTCAGCTGACAAAGCACACGCTCATTGCGCTACCAGTTAAATTTTTAATTTTTTTTAGTTTTCCTGTTAAGAACACACATATAATAGAACATTTACATATTCAAGTAATCTAACTGGAAGATTTTTAAATGTTGTAGACAGTAATTCAGCCATTCAGCAAATTTGAATACCTTATTTTTCTACAGTTTATCATATTATAATTAAAACTCTCTCCATGTCAGTTATTTATCATCTATTCAGCTAATAACACGAACAGATTCAGCTGCCTATTTCAAACTTTATAAATACATACATCTCTATGTAAAGTAATTTTGTAAATTTGCGCTGATAGAAAATGAGCTCATACAAAGAGTAAAACATTTATTAAGCACAGAAAAGTTTAATATAACAGACTTGGTATGTTGGAATTCAGCTATTCAGCAAATTCTGAAGCCTACTTTTTCGTTAGCTAATTCAAAATTCCTATTTAACTTCACTTAATCACACTAGAGACGTATTGAGCTGCCTATTTAAATTAATATGTTTTATTATTAAAGAATTATTTTAAAATTGCTCATAACATCTAATAAAAACATTATTCAGCAGGTTATTAAGCCTAAAATTATATACTGTCAGACATAAATTTAAATAATTACGCTTTCAGCAAGCAAAAACTTGTAATTTCGAATGGTTTTTAAAAAAGTAATCTCAATGACATCGCGATCGAAATAACGGTTCAGCTAAGTTGTGCTAAGTTATATTGTCAATAAATGTCGTTGTAAGAAGAAAACGTATTTAGTTTCGTTTATTTCAGTTATTATCTTATTATTCATAATAGAAACAAGCATATAAATAGCAAGTCAGCAATACAGGAAGGCTCTTGGCATTAAACATTTACTAATTAGCCTTTACTGAACTACCTTTACACACTTATGAAGTGATTTACCAAAAATTCAATCACTGATTAAAAAATATTATAAAAATTAACTAAAGTAACTGCAATCAACAATTCAGCAACGCATTCAGCTGCTGTATACTTAAAAATATCATGAATTTGACATAATTTTTCACCCAAAAAGTAGATCTTTATTTAATATTTGCAGTCAAATCCTCAAATAAAATATATTTTCCATATTCAACTGCTTAACTAAACATTCAACAAATTTTTTAAAACAACTGTTAATGAGAATTCAAGTATAAGTACTAAATTTTAAACATTTTGTTAGTATAGCTGAGTATACAGCAACTCAAATATCTTATACGTATTTTCCAAAAATCGCTTAATTTTCTCCAGCTTATGCTACTGCCTACTTGAACTAAATTATACAAAAAATCTTTTGCTATTGCTCCAATTTCCTGTCTCTAATCTTACTCCTTTTCATTTTTTTTCATACATACATTAATTGCAGAAAAAATAGAAGCAATAACAATAAAAATGCAATTAGAAAATAGCGTAAAGAAAATTATGCGCGTCTTACCATTATATTGGCTTAGTCATAAAAACTGACATGATTGCATGCTTTACAGACTTCTTGCAATTATATAAAAAAAAGTAACTTGCTAATCGAAATGCGATGAAGCATCACTGTGAGTTTATTGAGTTGTGGTTTGAAAATGTGATTTTTTAGAATTCTTAATGTCAGAGAAATATAATATATACAGCGGTATATTTTGTTAATTCCAGAGGTCCATTTTAATGTTTCGGCAAACACGAAAGAAACAGATTAACTGGAGGTGTCTTAATAATTAGTTACGGCATAGTCTTCTAGCAAAACATTACCTCCCAAGGTCTACTGATTTGACGACTTTAAGTACAGTAAATTAATTCCCTTTCAGTATATAACTCGGCCAGTTACGTTTGCAACTATTTAGGAAATACGGGGATCTAGTACAAAGGTTTTAAGGTTTCGAGTCAGCTAATCTCAAAATAATACAAATTTTCATTATGGAGATTCATTCATTCATCTTAAAACCTTTATATCTAAGTAATCCCGATTACTATATCAGCAAGTCAGAAAGTTTTGTCAGCTTGAGACACTTTCTTCGCTGACTTGAGCCCACTTCGATAGAAGAAATCATATCGAATATTATACATAGGTTTAGATAAGCAACGTACTTACCCTTTAACAAATGCTGCAATATATTATCCTTATGATCCTCCGAATGTGGCTCACCCAGCACGATCAGCAAATAACAACCGGTTAGTGGACTTGGTGGCCCAACCATACCACCGCCCAAACTCGATGGACCGCCACCGCCATCAGAGCAAGCGGTATCGAGTGGTGGACGACCGCCCGCCTCTTCGGACGGTGGCAATGAGCTGGCGCCCGCATCGGTGCCAGCATCATCGCCGCCCATAGATGAGGTGGAAGCGGCGCCGCCCAAACCAACAACGCCACCACCAACACCGCCACCATCACCAGCCACACCATCATCTGTTGCATCGCCAGTTCCAGCTGCTGCGCCAACAGCTGCCAAAGCATCCGCTGCTGCGGCGGTGTTGGTATTTACGACGCTCTCAGTGCCACTGCCATTCAAGTGCTCGGCCACCGTTGCGCCAGTACCATTAGTCGTAGTTGTAGTTGTGCCGCCATTAGTTGCCAAGCCGTTGCCTTCGCCATTAGTTGCGGCGACGCTGGCATTGTTGCCGTTGCCGTTGGCCATGGTTTGTGGCGTCTCGTGGGTGGCGCGCTAGAATCGGTTTTCGGGTTTTGGTTGGATTTTTTTTGGTATTCGTTGGCGTTACGGTTTTACAGTTGTAACACTACAGCAGCAGCGCAGCGGTGATTTCAAAGGTGTTTGCAAATCACTGAGTTCAATTTCAAAATTTTGGTTTTGCCGGTTTGGTTTGTATCCCTGTAGTTTTTGCTTTAGTCTGTTTTAGCTTTTAAGAATTTAGTTTAGAGTTTCTTCTTTTTTCCTTTCAATTTCGTCACTTTTTTATGATACTGTTTAACAGGAATCTGCTCGAAATACACACAACGTGAATTGTTGTCGTTTTGAAAACCACACAATTCTACGATTTTACAGCTTTATCTCGACACTATGCTCAACACTCAACTTATACAAGTTTTCTTTGATTTGAGTACTTCTTGGAAGTTTCAATTCAAAATCAGTCTTTTCTTTCTTAGCTTTTGGTTTTATAGGGGGCGTTTTACTTTAACTGGTATGTGTCTTGGCTAGTTTGCGGGTTCATGAACGCACTATATCACATTCACAGAAATGCTTAAAAATTTTATAAAAAAAATCCATTCGTAAACAGTTTTCAAATATTTTCTCAATTATTTACTTCTCGCTTCTTCACTGCTTCTCTTCACAAACAGTTCTTGCGGCCTTGCGGCGTCTACTGCGAGTCACTTGTGGCAAGCGCCGTCGTTGACTAACTGATGTTCGTGCACAACCGCAACGTTTCGTCTAGAAATTCTAGCAGTGCGCGCAAAATTTTCTGCACTAAATTTTTTAATTCTCGTTGTTTTATTTACAGTTTGTTATGTAGTCGCCTGCGAGTTGAGGCGCGCGACTCCACTTTGTCTATGCAGTTGTTGCTCGCGCTGTTTGTTGTTATTATTTATGTGCAGCAATACTGCTTAACGTTTATAAATGGAAATTGGAAAAGCGCGTGAGTTGCAAATTCTATTTAGCACTTTTGTTGCTTATGTGTTGGTGTTTTTTATATTGAAAAGAGTTTTTGAAAGTGAAGTTTTTTATTGTTGTTTGGTTTTCGTTGCACACAGTTGCAAATGCAACTTTACAAGTAAATTATATTATATATTAGCTGTTTTTGTAACTAATATTTATTTTGACTGTTATACAGGGTGTTTCACAAGCTTTAAAACTTTAATAATGCAATAATAACTTTTCAAAATTCTTTTTTTTTCCTTCAATAAATTTTTTTCGTATTTTTTTTTTTGTGGCTAGCGTTGTTGTAGTTGGCGCTGTATAGTATTTTTTATTTTCTTTAATTTATTTTATATTTCTTTATTTTTTCTAGTTTTGCTTTGCTTTGCTGCGGACTTGTAAATACTTTAATGATTTTTGTTGATATATTTCATTAATAACTGTATTTAAATTCCTTTTTTTTAATATTTAGCGTGCAGTTTGACCGAAGGGTTTATGATTTTTAAATTAAACCTTTTTTGTTTTATTAACCAGCTGCTGGCTTCTGTAGTTCACCAAGAGTCGTAAAATCTGGAAAAAAATAAAATAAAATATATTAATAAGAGTATGTATGATTAATAAGATAATTAAAGTAAATAAAAATATTCGGGTTACTGCAGAAATATAAATTTAATATAATACAGGGTGTAGCTATATATTTTATTAGCTTTTAATGACTTCATCCAAGTTTGGAATTTAAAAAAAAGTATTTTATATTATCTTTTAATCATTTCATTAAGATCTAGAAATTAAAAACAAAAATTGACACACCCTGTTTTTTAAGTTCATTTTTTAGAAACTTTCAGTTTCTGTCCATTGAAAAAAAAAATAATTTATGGGACACCTTCTGTATTTTGATTTAACATTTTTTGGAGATTAAAATTTTTTTTATTTTTTAAAACTACTTTTCGTGAAAAAAATGTACGCGAATCCAAAATGTAAAATTTTGAGTTATGTGATTTTCTTGTTAAAATAGTAGATTATGGAAATAACAAGTATATAACAATATTTTAGTAATAACTATTATTTAATACCGTTACCATAACCATACCAACAAAAAATTTAACAACTTTTAAGTTCTAAATATTTTATAGAAGATTGTTTAGGTTTTATTTTTCCCATTTCTTAATAGATTACATAAAAAATTATGTAATATAACTAAGTTGTATAGATCAAAAATAAATATAGATAACGTGTCATCTTTTCCTTCACTATCCCTACATGCCTTTTTTTCACTATATTTTTAGTTTCAGATTACCAAAGAGTTAAAACCCATTCGCACTTTAGCGTTATGGGCGTTGGAGACATTCTCTTAAATAACTCAATTAACAGTTTTTCAAATATTAATGTTTTTGTAAATAATTTATTAATTGTCTGGCCTAATTGACTCAATTAACAATGTCTCAATTATTAATATTTATGTAAACAATTTGCAATTTACTACTACATTTACATTTAGTGTACATTAATTTTTAATTGTTAATTAACAGCTACTTGTTTCAATTGTTTTAATATTGACACCTGATTAATTGAAATACTTAAAAAATTTCAACTTTTAGTATTAGTGTAGATAATTAATTATCCTCGTTAGTATCAGTGTAGTGTGTTGACTCAATATGTTTGCGTAAGCAATTGTGTGACTTCTGAATAAGTTGAAATTCATCCCTATAATTGACTCAATTAACTAATTTTTTCTATAGGCAGTAGTCTAGGAAACTTACTTATTGACTCAATTAAGGTACCCTCTGAACAGCCCTCAAGACAATTTAGATAGCCCTTTAAATTTTAAACTCTTCCTTAGCGTTGACGTTTAGGTTAAATAGAATAGAAAATCTGGGTATAGTTTTTCAATATTTGTAAATACTTATGTAAAGAAAATATCGTAATAGAGGAACCTCTGAGTGCGATTTCTGTTCGTTTTTCAGAACAAAAATTAATTGATTTAGTGAGTAAGAATCGAAGAATATAGAATTTAAAGTCTTAAAACCCCTACTGAAAATCTCTGGAAGGAACCCATCTCTATGTTCTGACTAAAACTCTGCTCTAACTACTCCAACTAGAATATTCAGAGAAATTATTAAAATTAATTTTTGTTTTGTTTATTCAAGCTCGACTCTCGCCTTCACCACTTTTGGAAAAACTACAATAACATCAATATTTACAATAACCACCATTATTTAAAGTTAACAAAAGGCAACATACGCGTATTTACCTCCGTATCTACACTATTTGTCCACTTAGTACAAACGATCACACATCAACTAAGCAAATAACCGAAAGCATAGAAGCCAAATGAGAAAATACACACAAAGGATGTGTAGCTGTCGACAACAAACAGGGAAACTTTTAGCGGCAAGTTTAAGTTAACTAAGTTAACATTATGACCAGCAGCAAAGCAGTTAACAATAATGAGCGGAAACCGTAGTGCCAAAAACACAAAAAATGACAACAAAAAATCATACTTGTAGAAACATAGCGCAGTGATATTATGCTGAGAATTTCCTTGGTTTGGTCGCCGGGTAAACAAGCTCGTTGTTTTTATTGTTTTACCCCGTTTACGCTCACTGCGTTTTTAATAACCTTTGTCATTGTATGCATACGAAATATTTAGCAAATGACGGAAAAAGTGTCATTTAAATGAAAATACAGCATCATAAAATTTGTCAGCAAATTTTATGCGTTTTATATGCATAGTCATAATGCCACAACGTAGTGTAATAGGACGATAAGATTAAATGATTTGCAGGAAAAGTAGTCGTTAAGCACAATATTAATAGTGCGTAGAAAATTCCGAAATATTGAAATGATATCAACACTTTTTATGAATATGGAAATAATATTTTCAGACAGGGTGCTTGGCAGAAAAAAATGTTATGGTAGGTGATTAATTAAATTTTGTCTTCTAAAGCCCAAGTGTCTAAAACAAAAGAACTGTCTTTATTTCTACCTGTTATATACATTAACTGTAGAGTTTCATAGTCTGCATACTCTTTCAGTATTGATTGAGACGACTCTAAGGTTAAGAATCCTAATTAGTTGGAACAAGTGAAGATAAAACTTTATATCTAGCTCCAAGTATACTTATAAGTCAAAGGGAATAAGTATATTAATATGAGTATTGCATCTAACGAAAAAGAGCTAAAGCTATCGAATCTCATTATCCGAAGTTCAGAATTTGTTCTCATATAATATTCAGAATGAAGACATATTTCGACTTACACTAGGTCTAAAAGTATCTTTTTAATAGAAGTTTCTTTAAAATGCACTCAATAAACTCTTTTTCCACTAAAGATCTTGAAACACTTAATTTTTCCGTAAATAAATTTATTTTATAACACAAAATTGTCCGCTACCCTCCTCCACCAACTACCACTCCTCTCTGTATGACCTGTCAAAAACTTTACTTCCCTCAGTGCTAATGCTGCGTAGACATTACTAAAAATAGCTGGAACGTCGTCGTATTTATGGCGCGGCTTCGTGCTAAGCGAAAAAACTAGAATTATGTATGTTTCCATAAAATTTCGCAATTAAATTGAAGTAAAAGTTATAAATAGCACTATCAGCAAACAACGACATGTAAATGTAACAAGAAGTGGGAATAAAGACGCTGCTGTATGCAGACAAAAGCGGGCGAGTGAATAAATAATCTGCTGAGAAGTTACATATGACTTACATGACTAACAAAAGATGTATGTGCTTTAAGAAAACAATGCCAAAAAACGTGTAGTTGTGTATGAAATCGGGTACAGCACTTCAAAAAAGTATTCGTATGCTTTCTTTTCAAGTTGAGTCGTTAGCTCCCGTGAATAGATTTATCTGCTAACAAATCTTTCTGAATAACTTTCATCTTCAGCACATTTTGAAGTCTTAAATATATTTATTTTTTTCCTCAAACGGTCCCGACTTATTTGTATCGCAAAATACCTCCAATAAGTGCCTAGCCGCTTAGGAGCTAAAACCATTTATTAATATTTTTATTGTCATTGGCATGAGACGAATATAAGAATGAAACTATTCTCTAATGATCTCACGTTAGATTATACTCACAACTTCGAAGTTGTAATTCAAACATAGCTTGATTAGCTCGTGAAGGATGTTATCGACAAAAATATGTTAATAATTCTAAATCTGAACACTACTAATAGTTTAACCTACCCGTTGCTCGAGAAGTTAATTTTTCAATTATTCTGGGATCATTTCAGTTTAAATGACGAACTCATATATTTTTATTTTGCTGTGACATCCAAGATCATTTTTTGCATTTTCGCAGCACTTTTTTTTTTAAATAAGCTTTACGAAGCTTTACTTTTGAAGAAGGATTGAAAGCGACTTTTTTGACTTAATTATTCTAAAGTTTCTTTAAAGCTACCTTTCACAGGACAATTTTAATGAGACACTCAAAACTATTTCGAGCTTTTTTGGAACCTTTGAGTGCTTTTGAGTTAAGCCATTAAAGTGAAGCTAAGCTTGGTAAAATATCCAGCAAAATTCAGAAACAACCATCTCGCTAAGAACTCGCTGTCATTTTAAGATTTTTCACATTTTCAAAGCTTTATACATTTTAAAGATTTCATAAATCACTTTACCCCCTCCTCTTGACTATAGCGCAACTGCTCGGAGTTAAAATTATGTCTTTAATTATTTAATTATGTCTCGAAGTTAAAATTATGTCTTTATTTATTTATGGAAAGTTTCTCATAATGTTCATCAGTCGATCGTAATTTTTTAGAAGCTCTAGGAAGGTTTTTTTTTAAGCGCAAATATATATCCTTGTAGCGATTTACTTATCCTTGAAGCTTTTTCAAAATCTGAAAGATTTCTACGTTTTAACTGAAAGCAGCTTAGTTGCCTGTTGATCTGCTGCTCGGATTCAAAACTCAATGTGTATTTTCGACTTAAAACGCTTTTCATAAACATCATTAGCTATTTATATGTGAATAAGAGACCTCTCTTTACAGATTGGTTCGCCTTTCAAACTTTTTTTCAAATTTTGAAAGCTGTTCATTTTTTAACGGTATATCTGTTCGAAAGCTAAGCTAGGTAAAATATGTAGAAAAATTCACAAAACACAACTCCAGCTAACTTTTTGCTCTTCCATTAAAATTTTTAGAAAGCTTTGAAAGCTGTCAACATTTTTGACAGTATCAGAAAGCGCTTTACTCCACTCTCCAATCAATTTAGAATAAATGATGCGCTTTTGGTAGTAAGTTTTTTTTAATCAAACTAATTACACAATTTGCTTGCATTTGCGAAATTGCGAAAATTACAAATGCTCATAAAAGTTCACGGTGTAAATGCATATGGGAGAGACTGCCAGCACTAGCAAACGTGAGCCAGAAGTCAAGGCGAATTTCGTGCACCTAGACGAAGCCTTTAAAATTTCCACGCAAATATACATACATATGTACATATTTAGGCAAATTTATATTTATACTCGAAAGCATTTCCGCCGCACAACAAACACGCGAACGCCACGCCGACAAAAAAGGGAGTGGCAACAGCACTTAAGACGAATGACGGCGCACACGGCA